GCCATAAGCCAGCTGGTGGGCAGATGAAGGACTGTGGCGACTGTCACAGCCTCGGAGCAGTCTTCATCCCCCTTCTTGGCTTTCCTCTCCCTGAGAATGGTTCCTTTTCCTCCCACCTGGGTCTCCCCACACGACTGGGTCCCCATCTCTCACCCCCACAGTGCTAAACAAGTCTCTCCTCAGAGCTGCAACTGCTGAGCGTCAGGCCAGGTTTAGAACTCAAATCCTGAGGGTGGCTTGATCCTGGCAGTGGCCCATCCTCGAGTTGTCCTCACTAGTTTTTATTGTATGTGGTGGCCGCCAGGCCAGGCTGGGTACTCACTGTGGTCACAGTGTCTTAGCTCTCGGTGTTTCTGGCACAGGGCGGAGAGCAAGCCCCCAGCCCCTGTCTTGGCCACACTGCTGCCTCCTTTGCTTTCCCCAGAGACCCCCAAGGTCTGTCCTCAGTCCACTCCTGGTCTCAGTGCTTTTTCTGAAGCCGTCAACAGTAGAGGGCCCACCTGGTGGTCAAGCATAATGCCACAGGGGCAAGGGCTCCGGGCCGGGGTCCCCACATGCGAGGAGCCCAGCAGCTGCACTCTCACCCACTGGCCCCTGCACTTGTCCACGAGGGAGCCGGGCCTCTGGGGGACAGTGACGATGGCTACTGGCTGGCACAGCTGCAGGGGTCCTTGTTAGGTGCCACCGCATCAAGTGTGACTCTAGTGATTCTGTGACAACAGACCTGAGCCCTGTGCCATCCTCATCATCACACAGTTGAGCCCATTAGTCAGTCTGTCAGTCCGTCTAGTTGAAGGTCTTCCTCTGTTGTTGACCCTCCACCCTTGCAGGCACAAGCCTGATGTTCCTCTCCAAGGAATCCGCTCTCCTGGCCACATGCCCAAAGTGTGTGAGAGAAAGCTTTGTCATCTTTGCTTCCAAAAAGCACTCTTAGTGCATTTTGTCCAAGACCTATCTGTTTTTCATGGGATATTCAGTAGTCTTCTCCAGCACGACAGCTCAGAGGCACGGCTGCATGCCCGGGTGGTGGTTGGCACCCACTCCTCTGACTGACCTGCTGGAAGGGACACGTGCTGAGGCCTCATGTCGCCAGGGTCCTGCAGTTGGCAGAACCCTTGAACCTCAGAAAGGCCAGCAGGCCCTGAGGTTCCAGACAGAGCTCTCTGGACATCTTCCCTCCGCCAGCTCCTTGCCCAGTGCACGCCAGCCACACGGTGCACTTCCAAGTGCTCAGAATCCCTCCCAAACAGCAGTTGATACGCTGAGTATGTCCCTGGAACATCGCGTGCCCCTCCACGGGCTTCCACTCCCTCAGTCCTCTCCACCACCCTCTCATTATCTCCACTTCTCAGCCACCAGGAAGATCAAGGCCAGAGGGTACTTTACCGGAGCAGTTTTCACAGGTGGAACACATAGGGAGAGGTGCGCTTGGCACTAGGCGTCTGACTCAGCATTAGGATGGCTTGTTTAAAACCACACAACCCAGAGACACGTCATTTGAGTCCACCAGTTGCTGCTCTGTGGAAAAAAGAAAAAATGGGCAATCTCCTGTGTGATTAACTGCCTCTGAAAACCCTCCAGAGGCTCAGCTGTAGATCACTTCCAACTCAATGGTACACAAAAACAACAATGAACTGTAGAAGAGAGAGGGATGTTAGAAGAGCCTTAAGAGAGAGAACCACCAAATGCAATGAAAACAAAATGAGAAATAACACATTTAAGAGATAATTAGATATTTGGACACTATCTCACTATATGATGATTTTAAGGAACTGCTCTTTTCAAGGTGTGATTAGATATTGAAGTTATGTGGGTTTTATCTTCTAGAACCACTATCTGCCTGCCAGTTTGCAGTGATTTACCTGCTGCTCTGATGATAAAAGCAATGCCACGGGGGTTTCAAATACCAAGAGGGTTGTAGAATCCAGTTCTACAACAGGTCCAAGAGGGGGACTCAGAGAGACTTAAAAAAAGATAGACATAATATAGTTGGGATGTGAGGGCCAAAAGATTCCAAGAATCTTAAGTAACTTTATTCAGCACAGACCAAGCTTTTAGGCAAGATCTTAAAACAATACCAAAAATACAAAAAACTATCAGTTGTAACAGAGGGTGCAAACATTTCGTTAAGAACATTATCTCAGAACAAACATCTTCTCCAGTGGTTTTTCAAGGGACGTGTTCCCAGTGTTCCTCAGAGTCTTTGCTCCAGCTGCATGCAGGCTTTCCTGTCACCAAACTGTGCTCTGCAGGTGCGCCTGTTGTCAGACTGATAGACTCTGTCAGCTGGACATGTCCGAGCTCATTCATCCACTGTCCTCTTTTAACTCCAGAGAAGGCCATGGATGGAATAAATGTGTTTTACATGTGACAAGAACATACATTTTTAGGTGTCAAAGAGTAGAATGTCACAGGTTCAACGGTGTCCCTTCAAAATGTTACCAACTTGACTAAGTTATGATTCCTAGTATTGTATGGTTATCTTCCATTTTCTGATGGGTGTATCTTAAGACACAGCTTTCTAGGAAGGCATGATACAAATCCTACTGTTACTCAAATCAAGTCCTTGCTTGAGTCACTTATTTTACAAGAGACAAGGAGATAGAGATGGGGGACCTGATTTCTGACCAAGAACTCTTGACCCAGTAAAATTATCACTCAAATATGATGGTGAAATAGGACATTGCCAGAACAAATGAAATTTATGAAAACTAGATTAATCCTATAAGGAGTCTTAGAAGAATCTGTTGGACCAAGAACCAACCAGGACAGAAACTGCCCAAAATTAGCACACACGACGACATCATTCAGAAACAGACTAAGAAAGAAAAATACACAAGAGATATGAAATAAATGACAATATAGGAAACTAGTGATGTCAGTCCATAAATGAGAGCAACTGGCATGCAAAAAGAGGGACTAAGAAGTGTAAAGAACTAAATAGAAAGCTAAGGTGATTTTGAGATAAACCGTTTCAGACTTGGGAATAAAATAAAGGGAAACCTCTAAGAAACCAAAACAAAAACACCAACCTCAAACCCCATTTAAAAAAAAGTTGAACGTTATTAATATTTAGTAAACACAAAAGTAACAGCAATGAAGAAAATGATAAGCCATAAACAAACTCAGCACAGAAAAGGAGATGGAACAAAGAAATCATAACACCACACAAAAAAATAGGACAGCAATTAAAACAAATCTATATTCACTATTCACTGAATAGAAATGGATTAAATGTCAAGAGGAACAAGAATGGCAGAATGGATAAGAAAATCATTAATAAACTATCTACAAGAAACGGTTTGAACACAATGACCAAGGTAGACTAAAAATCAAAGAATGGAAAAAAAAACATATTGAGTAAACGACAAGTAAAAAAAGAGGTGTGGCAATATTCATTTCTGATAAAATAAATTTCAAGACAAAAACTAGCATAAAGAGAGAGGGAAGGGCATTATATCATGATCAAAAGGTCAATTCATTAAGAGGACAGAACTATAATTAACCCAGACAGAGCCTCAAGATACACAAATCAAACATGAACAGATTTGAAGAGTGAAACAGACAACTCCACAGTAACAGTTGTTGGGTGTCATCGAGTTGACTATCCTGCACCCGTCATCACCTCCAATTTCTTGCAGTTACTGTGTCAATCCGTCTTGTTGAGTTTTCCCTCGATTTTGCTGATGCTGTACTTGCCCCAGGATCCTTTTTCTTAGGACTAGCTCCTCCTGACAGACATTGTCATCAATCAATCACATCAATCAATAGTAATTAATGTTATGTCTCTGAATAGCTGTATGGAAAAACCCTCTGGTTTTATGTAAACCTTTAGGCAAATAAAAAAATATCTTTTTAAAGATTGAGAATTTTCTAGAAATGTTAAAATTCATTTCCCCCATTTGTACAGGGGTAAGACACTGTATGAAATAGATTTTATCTATATTGGTTTGATGACTGAAACTAATAAAGTATTCTATAAGAAAATGTAATGAGGGCGCGCACACACACTCACACTCCTGGACCAGAGCGCTCATGAGAAGCAAGGATGGAGAGATTGCATCGCATACTTTGGGCACACTGTCAGGACTGGCCGGTCCTTGGAGAAGGACATCATGCTTGGAAAGGCGGGGGGTCAGGGAAGAGGAAGACCCTCAGGAAGATGGGCTGACACAGTGACTCCAACACGGGTTTATTTGCACAGTGGAAATGTAAGGGGGGGGTGGGGGAGCCAAACAAAAACAAGAAAATGGATTTAAGCAGAGATTGAGAAGAATAGTTTAGGATCAGGCAAGGTTTCCAATCTCTTGTACATAGACTGCATCTAACAACAACAACAACCCCTTCCACTTCACCCTGGTTCTGCGGACCCTCCAGGGAAGTGACATTTCCTCACCTCGTGGCTCAAGGGTTCAAATAGAGGACTAGGACTTGCTCAAGACTCCCTGTTAAAGTTTGATTTGTGTATCTTGAGGCTCTGTTATTGGGTTAATTATAGTTATGTCCTCTTACTGAATTGATCTTTTGATCAATTTCGTTTGCTCAAGCAGTCTTGACCCACTTTAGCTGCCTGGGTCAAAGAATAGAGGCTCCCGGGGCTCCTTCTGTTCTCCCCCTGCCCACATCCCATGAGCAACTGGACCACGGTGGATTCAATTCAACTCTCCAGACACCTCCTGGACATATTTTTCATAAGGGGATCACGAAGCAGAGGGCGGTAAGGGAAACAGCTCCGAATTTCCAGCTGTTAAGGTCCACGCGGAGATCACAGGCATCACTAAGTGAGCCCACCTGGAAAGCCAACGAGCTTCAGGTTACGCTGCGCGCGGCGCGCCCGCCAGCCCTCTATCCCCGCCTATTCTGCGCCTGCGCAGGGTCCTCCAGTCCGATAGGGGGCGATGATCGGCTCAAGCCCATAAGCGGTGTTGACGCCGCCGCCGTAACCTGGAAGAGGAAGCTAACCCGGAAGAGGTCGTGTAGTAGAGTGTTTGCGAGCTGTTAGGATGAACGCTCCTCCCGCCTTCGAGTCGTTCTTGCTCTTCGAAGGCGAGAAGAAGTAAGTAGAGGAGACGAGGCGGGGTGAGGCCGCCTAGAACTTCGGGTCCTGTAGATCTTGGGGCTGAGATCGCCTATTTCGCAGACGAGGAGAATGAGGTCCAGCGAGGTTGAGTAGTTTCCCCTCCACACTGGAATTGGTGGGGCCAGTAGTCGAGCTTCATAATATGTCAGTGGTTCGAATCCCCCAGTCACCCTGCAGAAGAATGCCGTGCAGTCTCCTCCCGGAAAGAAAGAGTTATAGCTTCGGGAACCCGAGGGCGGGACGGCTCCGTGGGTTTTAGGATTTTTTTTTTTTGTACCAAATGGCTGGCCCAGCACTTTGGATTGTAGCATCTGTTGCCGTTTTCCGCCTCCCACCTCTGTTCCCTGGAGTGATGGCTGTTCAGTTAATACCCAGGCTGCCACTCGCCACGTTAAACCTTCTCATCGTCTGCTGTTGTTGTGTACCATCAAGTCGGAACTGAACCACAGCTGACCCTCCAGCAGCTTTTCAGAGGCAGGAAATCGCAGGACAGGGGATTGACCATTCTTCTCCCGTGCAGCAGCTGGTGGATTTGAACCTGGTATCTTTTGGGCTGGCAGCTCAGCTTCTTACCACTAAGCCACCAGAGCTCCTTTCTCATAGCCTGTAGGTTGGGGTAAAATGGTCAGCCAGCCAGGACTTGGTTCCCAGATGACCTCATTACACCAACTATGTATCTTTGGACAAATCACTGTCAGCGTCGTCGCAGTGTTCTAGTCTGACAGGTGGTCCTATTGCTATATATAACCACAGGACTTCCTCAGAGGGAAGGCTGAGTGAAGCAATGCAAGGCTCCTACTTCACAGCCCTGCTTGTTTAGCCCTTAGAAGCCTGGTCTGCAGGTCGGTGATGCAGCCCTTGCTGGTCCCTCTTTAGAACAGCACGTCTCAACAGTGGCTGTTTTGCTTTCTAGGATACGTCTGACATTTTTATCATGGGGAAGGTTATTCCTGATATTTTATTGGTAGCGACCAGGGATGCTGCTAAATTCCCTCTTTCACAAAGAATTAAAAACCACACACACAGTTGTTCCCGAGGCCTGTTGACTCTATCTGGTTTCTGAAGCTGAGAATCTCTATGGGAGGAGACTACCCTTCTTTCTCCCATGGAGCGGCTGGTGGATTCAGATTGCTGGTCGATCTGCTTAGCAGCAGAATACACGCTTAACTGGGCCACCAGAGCCCCTCAAAGCAAAGAATTATCTGCCTCAGAATGTTGGGGCTGTGTAAGGTGAGAGAGCCTGACTTAGGAAAAGAGAAACGATGAGAGCAGCAGGGATCTGTGTGCAGACATGATGCCCACGAGTTAAACGCTTTATGGCTTCAGCAGACCCGGGAGGTTTCCAGGGGGGAGGGTTTTGGACCTGCCTTAAAAGGCAGAGAGCTTAACCCGGAGAGAGGAGGGTGCGGCCCTGTTTCTCACATGCTGCCACGCACGTGTGGCCTCTTCTAGGATCACCATTAACAAGGACACCAAGGTACCTAATGCCTGTTTGTTCACCATCAACAAAGAAGACCACACACTGGGAAACATCATTAAATCGTAAGTTCCAGGTCAGATGCTCTTTGGCCAAAGCGTCAGTTTTATGAAGACCCTCTTAGTACTCTGAAAAAGGGACAGGAAGTGCCCTGGGTGCTTGCCCGAGACGCTTCCCGGGTCCAGCACCTGTTTTCAGAATGCTGCTGACCTCTGCGTGCTCATAAGCCTTGTGTCCTCGTTTCTCTGACTGCAGGGAGATAAGCTCGCTCCCCCTTCAAAGTGCCTGCTTGTGCTTTTGTGCTGAGGAGCAGCCAGCAGCACTTGGGGTGAGGGGCCCCGTACGTACACTTCTTTGTCACGGAGACCTCAGTGGCCTGTTCCATCTAGCAGTGCCATGTTCATGGCAGTGTAGTAACTTCAGTAGGTCAGAGAGAAAAAGGGAGGGGCGTTATGGGGCGTTCTGCAGTCACCCAGATCCCTGGTGGACGGGTTTATCTTTTTATAGAGGCATTATGGGGGTCTCTGACTTCCCCTGAGGGAAGAAGTTGCTAGAAACCCTCATAGATAGAGATTTTGGGGGGTGGCCCTCACATGGTGTACTGCCTTCAAAGCATCTCCTACTTGAAAATTTGGGGCAAACTCCAGATCAGGAACCCTCTTTTGTGTGGGCTTCAGACTAAAGGTTGGGCTCCTTGCTGGACAGCCTGGTCAGCCCTGTGCTGGGGCCACCTGGCAGCTTTGGGCTGGATGGGACCAGGAGCAGCATTTGTTACTTAAACCCCTCCCACCCTGTACTTCAGACAGCTGCTGAAGGACCCACAGGTGCTGTTTGCTGGCTACAAAGTGCCCCACCCCTTGGAGCACAAGATTATCATCCGAGTGCAGACCACACCTGACTACAGCCCCAAGAAGGCCTTCACCAATGCCATCACAGACCTCATCAGCGAGCTGTCCCTGCTGGAGGAGCGCTTCAGGGTGAGGCTTGGGACCGCTGGGGGCAGGGCCAGGTACAGGCTGCCAGCGCTGGGGAGCTGGAGCTGGCACTGACGACAGCCCCTGGGTGGTTTCCTCTGACCTCAGAGAGGCTTGGTGGTGGTGACACAGCAGGGGCTCCACAGGCTCGAGGAGGCCTGGACCAGAGCTTATGGATTTGTGGCCTGCCGTCCACGCCCGGCAGTGGGAACCTGCCTCCTCATGCACCCATATGGCTCCTTGGCAGGGCGGGACCTGTTGCCCTCTGGAGCTTCCACGCTTCCTCTCTGTGGTTGAGGAGGTGTCTCTATGGTCAAGGTTCAGGAGGGTTGGTGGTCACACCTGTTCATAGCAGTGGCTCTGTCTAAGCAGAGTTTAGGAGAGGAAGGGTCCAGAACTAGTCAGAGTCTCAAAAGTTTAAGTCCAAAGCTTACTTAGGACGCTTCTTTGCACCACCTGACTCTAATTCCAGGCAGCTGGACATGATATGGGCAGGGCTAGTGCCAAGGGTGACTTCTGTTTCTGTCTACCCAATCCCCTGGACCTTGTGGGGCCCTTGTTTGTCATGTGGTCTGCCAGTTGCTCTCTTCAGGAGGGATTGTGGAAGCAAAACTGGTAAAACTGTGGTTAGGGGTTTCATTTCCAAACTCCTTGCCCCGAGCCAGTCTTCAGCAAGTGCACTGTCTTCTGTCCCCCAGGTGGCCATCAAAGACAAACAAGAAGGAATCGAGTAGAGGACTGGAAGGAACCAAGCTCCTCCCCTCTGCTGGACACCTCTCTCTGGGAACCAGGAGAGACTTTGGCGGGCTGTGGCCCTCCCTGTAAGATACCCCACGAGCCCCTCACCTGACACTTCCATCTCTTGTACATATATGTTATCTTCCAAATAAAGTGTGACAGAGACTTGGTTGTGGGCTGCCGTTGAATGCCTTCAACAGGTGACTTTTTCAAAGGGTCCGGTTTGAAGGAGTGGTCACATGCATGACCAATTTTAAAAGCACTCGAGGGCCACACTCATAGGCCGCGCAGTGCTCTGATGACTTAGAGGGCTCACCCAGGCCGGTCCTCACGCCGCTAGATGACTGGGCTGTCAGGCACCGTGCAGCCGGCTCCACCCACAGCCACCCTGTGCACAGCAGAAGGAAACCCTGGGCATCCTGTGTCCTCAAGCTCATTGCTGCAGTTATGTTTCAGCCCACCTTCCCGAGATGCCTGCTTTCCTTCACTGACCCTCCAGTGTCCAAGCCTGAGTTCCAAGAACCAGCCCCTCTGGTCACAGGCCCAGAGGAGTGCAATGCCGTCTCCCGAGCCCTGCTTCCAAGGAGCGCTCGGGCTGTCTGCTCGAGGCAGCCCGTGGTACGTCCTGGACGCAGTCCAATGCAAAGGCAGCCATTCCTCTTTGGTCTCCATTTATTCATCGTCCAACTTTTACGTGCATATGGAACAGTTAAAAATATGGCTTAGATCAGGCACACTTTAAGTCTTTAACACATTGCCGCAAATGACAGCTATAGCCATCACACACATTTTAATGAATTTTCACTTCCAAATATACAACTGACAATTTCATATGGCAGTCATAATTTTTTTAAAAAAAGTGTTTCTAAACACGGTCATCAATTTAAAAGTGTGCGGTAATGTGTTAAATTGGTAGCTTGATCTTCAGCAAGACTTTAAAAAGTCCTTGAAAAGCTGTGTGTTTTTATTTCTTCCCTTTGGGTTTTCTCCATCTTTCCGCATTTCTGTGTTCTGCAGTCTTCTCCAGCTGCCAAATGCACACACCAAGTGTTTGTGGTCCACTGAGAGATTCCAGTCGCTTGCTGCTAACATAAACGAAGTGTCTGGACCCCTGTGGGGTCATTACATGCCGCTGACTACAGTTCAGTGACCCTGTGAACAGTGGATGTGAACCCTGCTCTCTCCTGTGCCGTCCTCACAGTCTGACACATTTAAGCCCACTGTTAGTCACGTTACCATGGGGCAGAATCGTGTACAGAACAGTAACATGGAAACTGGTCAGTTTTGCTGTTGGGCTAGGCTTAAAATGAGGGGAATGGGGATCTGCCGTCAGAGTCAGAAGCGTGTCTGCCCGTTGGACCTGAGGCCCCCAAATCTTTGATCCAGAAACTGCTGTACCACTGGAAGAGATGGTAGCAGTGGCCACAGGGAAATGGCTTTCTTGGCCTACATAAGTCAGGGCAGAGCCTTTGGGCAGAGCTCCAGACACCCCACAGAGCAAGAGCTGAGCGTAGGTGATTTGTCAGAGGTAAAAAGTTTTGCTAACAAAGTCTGAGCAGGACAGAAGCTGTACAGAGAGTGGGGATAGAGTGTCTGACCTCCACAGTGCCACAGAGGCAGTATCCCCATCCAGAACATTAACAGCACAAAGCTGAGTCTATGGGAGCAGACACGTCACGTCCTTCACCCACCCAACTTCTATTAATCCGAACACTGTCTTTCTTATGGTCTGTCTGCCAGGTCTTTTTGTTGTAATGGCTACACAGAAATCCAAGACAGTACTCAACAATTATGAGGATTACTAGAGAGGTTACAGTTCTATTAGACAAGTTACAATTTAGGTTGCAAACACTCCCTTGTGGCTTTGGACTGTCCCCATGCTTGGTCGAGTCATAAAGCTAAATTCTGCCAATTATTATGTGCCAGTCTTCATTGGCAAGCCTAGGCCAAGGGGCTTGTCACTGGCTCCACAGCCCTGCAGACAGAGCCCAGGGCTGTCACATACTTGTCTCTTGGTTCTTCGCCACTGGTCCCACTGCTGGTGCTCTCCGGGCTGCTGTCCCCTGCCCTGCCCTGCCCTGGTACTCTCTCTCTCTCTTGCAGGAATCTCTGCCCACAGAACTCTGCTACTTCTTTTTTAATGGCATTTTCTTTGGAACCTGCTCAATTTAAGCCTGGCATGACGATTCTAGACATTAGCACTGTTTCATGTTTCCTACTCAAAGATTGTTACTCGTTTTTGTTAGTGGCAAACTAGTCCCCTTCTTAGGCTACAAACTCATAACGTCTGTACAGCCCTTCTCACAAGGGGGGGGGTCTGGTGGCCTGGCGGGTAAGGAGTTAAGCTGCAAACCCAAAGGCAAGCAGTTCAAACTCACCAAGGGTTTGAGGAGAGAAAAATGGGCAGTGTTACTCCATGTGATTTAGTTTCTGAAAACCCACGGAATGGTTAGCTATGAGTTGATTCCAGTGCAATGAGTTTGTTACCCAGCCCTGTGTGAGAGTCACACAGTGTTACAAAAGCAGTGCTTGAGAGCCAGGGAAAGGCTCCCTGGGAGCACGACCATGGAGCTGTTTTGACAGAACTGTGTATCCCAAGTCCTTCCTGATCCTGAATTGTAAGCTTCCCTAGTAAAACCCATTATCTCTGAATTCTGTGGCCACAGATTATCAAGTCCAGCAGAAGAGAGATATGCAGAGTCAGCAGTGGTGAAAAGACTAGCAACACACCTGACCACAAGCCCCAGGCTGCTGCTGCTGGGATCCTCCCCTGCGAGGGCAGAGGGCTGCCCCTGAGAACCAGGACGTGTACCTGGCCTGCCCCCAAGAACCTGGCAGGACTCGTTCAGGACAGAGTAACGGAAGCCGGGAGGGCTTCTGGGCAGGGGCGCACTCACAGCAGAAGAGACCTGTGGACCCCTTTGTTCATCTCAGCTCTTCCAGGGGCACATGCTGGGTCCACAGAACTACAGACAAGTGTTCTAAAAATCTGACAGTTTAATAAAAATGTATCTCCATTAAAAGACCCTCATCTGAGTCCTGACAGTCACTTGTGTCCCTTGTGCTCTAAGGGGCAGGGCTCCTGGCATTGTCCACCTACTGCCTCTTCCAGATGGCGACAATGTTGGAGTCCGTCAGAGCAGTGAGGTAGGTAAAGCTGGGGTTGGCCACCACTGTGTTCACCATGGTCTTGGTCACCATCTGGCCGAGGGCCCAGGGCTGGGGCCACTTGAGGATCTGATAGGAAGAGGCAGGAGGGGTTAGACTGCTGGCTGCCCCGTGGCCAGGCCCCTCCCTGGTGCTCTGTCAGCCCCAAGCACAGGTGAGGACAGTGACCGCGCCGTACCTGTGCAGGGGCCTGGGGCGATGCTGGCAGTGGCGGCTGCTGGTTTAGGAGATGTTGGATGTTGTAGACCCACACGTTCCCTTCCTCATCCCCACACAGCACAGTGCCCTGACCTGCCAGGACGCAAGGAGTTTGATGTCCAAGATGGGCAGTTGGTAGGGGCAGTGCCAAGAGGTAGTGGGGCAGGGCGGGGCGGGGCGGCTTACCAGGGCAGGTGCTGAGTGAGAAATAGGCCAGCTCAGTGGTTGACCACTGGAGCCGTGCCAGGACAACGACCGCCACGGTGGCCTGGCTGCCCCTGGCTGCCCAGGTCTGGCTCCAGCTCCACAGGAAGATGATGCCCAGGCTGTTCCCTTTGGAGGCTGCGGGGAGAACCGAGACCTGCCTAAGCTGGCCCTGCACCAGACACTTGCTGTTTTCCCACTGGGGACTCCCCAACAGCTGTTGACCTAAACCCCAGCCCAGGAAGAGGTGACCCATGATGAAGTCCTCAGCGAGGCCCCGGGAGGCTGAGGTACTAAGCAGCAGGCTTACTCACCCACAACATCCTCGTTCACAAATGCCAGTCCGTCCACTCTCCGCCGGGATGCCTCTGTGCCCTCGGAGAAGGTGAACTCCACTTCACAGCCCCTGGAGGGCGGCAGAACTCGCTGGGTCACCGCTCTTTGCTCAGAGAATCACCCATTCAAGCATCGGCTGGATGCCTGCTCTGGGCAGGGCCCCATGTGGAGGTCAGAGACCCAACACAGTAGGGGAGGTCTTGGCACTAGAGGGGCCCCTAGCACTTGAGGGAGCTTCAGCATCACAGATGGCAGAATCTACAAGGCTGAGGGGGTGCTGCTTCCCACATGCAGAGGGCTGGTGCTCAGGAAGGTTCTGGGGAGGAGCTGCACCACTGGGCCGAGGGAGAGAAGCTAGGCTCTCAGCTGCCAGGAAGGCCAGGACTTCCACACACAGCAAGCCAGAAGGGGGTGCTTGCTTGGGCTCTGAGGAGAGTGGGGAGAAGCTGCTGGAGATTTTAAATCAGGAAAGGTGGTGGTCAGATCTGTGCTTAAGAAGACCACCAGGCGAATACTACAGGGTTTCCACAAGAAAACAACTGATAACCTAATTACAAAACGGGCAAAAGAAATGGAAAGACCTTTTACAGAAGAAGACATGTGGATGTTGACCCAGCAATTCCACTACTGGGAATATACCCTGAAGAGACCATAGCTGACATCCAAGCAGATATATGCACACCCATGTTTATTGCAGCTTTGTTCACAATAGCAAGGAGTTGGAAACAACCTAAGTGCCCATCAACAAATGAATGGCTAGAGAAGCTGTGGTATATTCGCACAATGGAATACTATGCTGCATTAAAAAACAAGGAACTCATGCAATATTATTCAAAATGGTTGACTCTGGAGAACATTATGCTGAGTGAAATATCCCAGTCACAAAAGGACAAATATTACATGATGCCACTGTTGTAGAATGGGACTGTCCTTGGGGTTGGGGAGAGACTGAGTAAGATGGGTTCAATAATGTATACTGCACTGAAACAGAGGAGGGAGAGAACCGTTTAAAAGAGAGATATAACTGGGTATTTCTGTCATCACAGGAGACTAGAGCGAGGGCTGCATGGTGGAGGGGACCTGGGGGAGGGTTTGTAAAACAATGAAAGAATCTTTTCTTTTACTTTTCCATAATTTTTGGACTCATGTACTTATAACTTGTTAGTCAAATTTGTGTCTTCTAGGTTGCAACACCCCCATGATACATCTTGAAGGATATGTACATGTACAGCCAAGCACAATCAATAAGAGTGCATCTGAATTCCAAAATCAATCTCCATAATAGTCTATGTGTTTCCTACTGCCAAAGGGGCCCTTTAGAGTAGTGAGAGAAGATCTTCACCCTGAAACCCACAGCGTCCCTTTTCAGCAGGAAGTAGCTAAGAGAATACGCCGTCCCCTTTTCCTTATGACTCAGGGTGAAGTCTCTCTCAGGGAGGAGTGATAGGGAATGGCAAAGGATACACTGACAAAGAAGATTAATCAGAACTGGCTTTGACAAGCACTATGGCATTTGGACAAGAAGAAACTGGGAGGAGGGTAGAGAGAATAGTGCAACAATGAATGAGTGGAAGCCCAAAATCTCTGTAAATGTTTATGAAAATTAATAAAATATAATTATAGAAAAAAGACATGTGGATGGCCAACAGACCCATGAAGAAATGCTCAAATCACTGGCAGAGAGACGCAAATCAAAACCACAATGAGATACCATCTCAATGCAGTAGCAGTGGCAACATTTAACAGGACAACAGGCAATAAAGGTTGGAGAGAGGTGGACAGATAGGAACTCTCACACTCGTGGTGAGATTGTAAAATAGTACAATCACTCTGGAAGGCAGTTTGGTATTTCCTCAGAAAGCTACATATTGAAATTCCGTATGACCCAGCTATTCCACTCCTTGGAATATATGCCAAGAAAATTAGGACTAAGATACTGACAGATTTGTACACCAATGTTCATAGCACCATTATTCACCACCATCACAAGAACATAGAAACAGCCCAAATGTCCAACCAGAATCAAAAAGACTGAGAAACTGTGGTACATTCACACAATGGAATACTATGCAGCACTCAGGAACAATGATTTAGAAAATTATTACATAATTTGGGTGAGACAAGAGCATTATGCAGAGGGAACTTAGTCACATAAGGACAAATACTATATGAGATCATTGCTGGAGGAAAAGGGTGAGGACGGGCAGGGGGGACATCATTAAGGTTGCACAACTTGATAGACGGAGGGACAGAGCAATGGAACAATCCAGCAGGGATCTGGAAAGACAGGGTAATGGTGGGCATAGGCAAATAGTGATTAATTTTACAAAACATCATGAATGCGAAGGATTGCATGGAACAATGTGAATCAAGAATGGTGTGAAACACAATGTATACGAACTTTGTATACACTGTATAAGGCAAGACTGGGAAGGCCACACCGGTGGAGAAGGCTCGGCACAGCAGCAGTGAGCCACTGTAGAGGGGGTGTGATCACAGCCCCAAAACACGGCTGACCCAGCCCCCCAGCCAGCCCCAGGGGGAGGATCCGGCTGCAGGACCCTTTCCTCTAAGTGGGGACAGACCAGCCCTGTGCACCTGGGCTCACCTCCTCTTCTGTGGCTGGTCCAGTCGCACATCCCAGCAGCAGCAGCCACCCTCACAGCCAGCCAGCAGGTAGGCATCTGGGCAGGAGGCCACAGGGCAGAGGCGCAGGGGGATGGAGGTGGTGTCGAGTGTGAGCAGCTGGCTGCCAGGCAGAACAAGAGACAACAGGAGCCGTGAGGCCTCTGTCTGCCCTGCATCTGAGACCTCTGTCTGCCTCGTCTGCCCCACGTTGTGGCGGGCCCCTCCCTGGCCTCACCCCAAAGCATCACCTGGCCTGGAATTCGCAGTCATCGTTGGGCATCCCAATGTCCCAGAGAATGATCCGCTTGTCATAGGAGGCCGCTGAGGGGATAGGGAGGGACAGGTGGCCTCCTGCCTGCAGGCTGTGTCTAAGACAGCAGTCCCAAGACGAGAGACCCTCTGAGTCAAAAAGGGTCATGGCTGGGAGACTGGACAGACGCGGGGCCTCTAGTTCCTATGTTCCTGTCTAATCCGACACTCTAGCATCAGGCAGCCATCTCTTGCCTCTGCTCCCCACACCGGCAGGCCAGGCCCAGTGGTCCATCCGTGACAGACCAGAACACAGTGGACTATGCTGTCAAAAAGCTCAGTGGCCACACAACAACCCAGAAGTCAAGCCGGGACTCAGAAAGCACCCAGTGACCATGAGGCCCACGTCACTTCCTATCAAAGCCCGGCAGAACCGGCCAGCCCAAGGGCGAGTCATTAGTGGGTGGGAGTCCCTCCTCTCACTGAGGGTCGGGGTGCAGGGCTTACTGAAGAGGTGGGTCTCGCGGGTGGGGCTGAAGCAGAGGGTGGCGATGGCCTTCTTGTGGGCCCGTATGCTCCCACAGGAGAAGCCGGTCTTCACATGCAGCATCCGCACCAGGCCCCGCAGGCCAGCGGCCACCAGTACGTTCCAGCGCGTCTTGTGGCCAGTCTGGGTGACTACTGTCACGGCTGTCCAGGCCACGGAAAAGAATTCCTGTGGATGGTGGAGTGGGGGGAGGTTACCAAGGTCGGGCCCTGGGTGTATGAACACCCATGCTGGCCTGGGACAGAGCCCACAAGAAAGAGAAAGGTCATGTGGTGAGGTGATGACCCAGGTGGGAGCCCTACCCCCCACCCCCCGCCCTGGCCTGCATTCTGCCACCGGCCCCGCTGGCCAGTGCCCAGCACACACCTCGCCAGGCACCTTGTACTTGTACAGCACGATGCCCAACTGGCAGTCAATCACGCAGACAGCCTCCCCACCACAGGTAGCCACGGTCTGGGACGAGGCCCCCGAGTGTCCTGTTGGGGGGGAGGGTCAGCCTAGTGAAGATATTTTGGTTAACGTTCTCCTGTGTCCCTGCTACTGGAATGCTTGGGACCCTGGCTCTCCAAGCCCCAGTTCCCCAGGCTGCCCCGTAGCAAGCATGCCCACATCCCATCCGGCCGGTTTGTTTCCTGCGGCCGGTCCACAGACGTACCCTCGTTCCAGGCAGGCTCGAAGGCGCAGGCCCACAGCTGCGTCTGCAGGTCCTGACGGCTGTTGTTCTTGCTGTGACATTGCAGGAAGTGTGTGGGCTGTAGCTTCGGGCCAGGCTGTGGGGACAGAAGGGTCACGGCTGCCCCAGGCCCCGCTCAGGCCGCTGCCTGCTCCCCATCGTCTTGCTGGCTCACCTGGCTGTCATCAGAGCCCTCTGGGCTGCCTTCCACCTGGGCTGCCAGGGAGGTGCAGGCTCGCTTGCTGGGAGAGACACTGAGTGGGGCATCATCAAGCCGTTTCAAGGTCACCATCCTGGTCTGCACAGGAAGCGAGGGTGTCTTGAGGGCCTATGACCATGAGCTTATCTGCCTGAGGCTTCCATCTTCCCCTTCCCAGGCTGGACCGTCCCTCTCCCATCACTTGGGCTCACCTCCAGGACGCCTACTGACTGGCAGTTTTCCAGGACAGGCAGGGTAGACCTGTGGGAACCTGTGACACTGAGGACATGCCGGGAACCGCACTCACCCTGGACTTGTGAGTGGCTGTGGCTTTCACGGGCCTCTCTGAGTTGTCTGCCTTTGGCATCTGGGTCCCACCTGCCGCCACCAGTTCTTCAGAAATCATCTGCACCTGCGTAGAGCCAGGCAGATCCGGAAGCTGAGCGCCTCAGCCCTTCCCCAGATGCCAGGCTGCAGGGAGTCTCTGCTTCTCAAGGGGAGAAAGGGCCTTCCTTGCCAGGCTGACCCTCTATTCCCCATAATCCTGTACCCTTTATAGGTCAGAGAGCCCAGAACAGCTGGAGGCTACAGGAGCCAGCAAGGAGCTGAGAGAAGCAACATCTCTGAACCCCACAGCAAGGACATACCCGCCACTGGATGAACTCGCTGAGGGACTCGGAGCCGTAGCGGATATCATTGACGGCCGATCTCACAAAGTCCGCCTTGGCCTTCTCAGTCTCCTTCTCGGGGCCTAGGTTGGCCATGAACTCCTCCCAGTAAGCAGTGACCTGGAACAAGAGAGATCGGATCGACGACCAGTCCATCCCAGCTTTACAGGGTCCCCAAGGCATCATCTGCCCCCAAATTCATCAGCACATGGGTCCCCACTTCCCGGAAGCCTCTCTGAATCACAGTTTACATAAACCTATGCAATGTGCAGAGACCTTTGGTGGCCTAGTGGTAAGAAGCTGCACTGCAATCCCAAAAGCATGTAGTTCAAATATACCAGTTTGCTAGAGATGGTTGAGCAGCATCTTCCCATGTGACTTACGGCCTCTGAAAACCCACTGCAGGGTCAGCTCTGGGTGAGTTCCAACTCTGTGGTACACAACTACAGTAGAAAGAATCAATGTGCAAACAGCAAAAGAGGAAGAATCGCCCCAGGGTTACGCCTGGCCAGACACAGCAGATGTCAGCCGGCCTCTCTGCTCACCCATCTGCAAAGCTGGCTGGCAGCACCTCCAGGGCCCCCAGACCGAGCACCCAGCTTCATAGGGGGTGGCAGTGCCGGCTCAGAGCACTGTGGCAGGCTAAGGGGCAGAAGGGTCACTCTGTGTCAGATTAGAGTCCCCCAGTGTCCTATTTCTTCTGTGCTCCCACCTCGAGGCTTCCTACTACTTGTTCCTACCCTCCTCATCAGCTCCCGGTTCAGATTCTCCGCCTCGGAGAAAGTTGAAGACGCATCCTTGCCGTTGAACTTGCGGAGCTTGGGCAGGAGAAAGGAGATTTTCAGGTTGTCGCTGACCTAGTTGGGGAGGGAATCGTGGCTCAGGGCCTGCCCAGCTGAGCCTGGCTGAGCCGCACAAGCGGCGGGCGGGCACACTCACCGTCAGGTGGTGGTTGCCCTCCAGGCTGAGCTCCTCAAGCTGTGGGAACTGGGACAGGCAAGTGATGTCCCCCAGCTGGTTGTTGGCGCAGTGGAGGATACGCAGGTGGCTCAGGCCCAGGTTGGCGGGCAGCGTGTCCAGCTGGTTGTTGGACAGGTCCAGCTCTTTCAGCAGCTTGAGGCGGCACAGGAGCTTGGGGTCCAGGTGCTCCGAGAGCAGCTTCAGGCCTGACAAACTGCGGGTGAGGAGGGAGGCAGAGGACGGTGGTTCAAGGCGCGCAGGGGTGGGCTGCCCGTGCTGCATCGGGCTTCCCACCCTCGCCATTCTGCAGAATGCAAACCCCCACCCCGTGGCTTAAGACTTGTTTTCAATCTGACAACCATTCGCGGCTCCACTCAGCACACACTCCTGCTGGGTGTTTCCCCCCCATCCTCTGGGGCCCCCTCTCTGTGCTCCCTACACGCTCCCTAATCTTCTCTGCATTGTCTCCCTAGCAGCCTGAACAGGGGGAAGCGAATGGTGATGAGCAGAAAGTAGGGGGCGCGCCCCAGCCTTTCTTCCCGGGGCCCCCCGCGACCCTGGACCAGGCAGCCCAGGTGGGGGGGGGGGGCTGTGCGCGCTCCTTGGTCCCGCGGACGCAAGCCCCGCCTCCCAGGCCGACACTCACTCTAGGCTCCGGATCTTCCCAAGCCGGTCGCTCTTGGGCCGGCCCCGCTGCATCAGCAACCGCGACGTGAGGGGGTTCATGGCGAGAAGGCGGAGCCCCGAACGGCGGTCCCGGGGTCCGCGGTAGCCGGTACAGCAGCCCGTTACCTGCTCCCATAAGGCGGGACCTCGCTCGGCGTTCCGGAGGAAGACCGGAAGGAAGACGGAGTGCAGGCCTCATGCCTCGCGGCCCGGACTACAACTCCCAGCGGCCCCCGCGGCTCCCGCGCCTGCGCTCTGACTGCGCCGGCGGTGGTATGGCGGCGGCGGCGGCGGCGTCGGTAGCAGCAGCCCCAGCAGCGGCAACAGCCGAGACCCTTGAGGAATGTGGCTGCAAGGGCATCCGGACCTGTCTGGTCTGCGAGCGGCGGCGCGGTGGTGACCCGCCCTGGAGGCTTCCCCCGCAGGTAACAGCCAGGGGAGGTCCCGCACTCCCAGACTCCATCTTCTGGTGGGGAAACTGAGGCTCAGGCGGGCCTGGATCAGAGTCAGTGTCGGGATCCTGGGATCGGAGCCGGGGGTGGGGAAAGGGGACTTTGAGGAGTGCTCATGGGTTAGCCGGGGGTTCCTCCTCGTGGAGTGTCGTCCAATCACAGCTCACCTCCGGGAGCTTGTCAACAATCCTCGATCGAGCCCCCCTCCGCGGCTCGGGGACCAGATGCAGGACGATTTTGCTGCTGCTGTTATTAGGTGCCTTCCGACCCAGAGCGACCCACATACGTCAGAGGGAATCCCTGCCCAAAAACCGGGGTAGGGTGGTCCCAAAGATCTTACACTGCAGTGGCAAGGAGACTGAATCCGTCCTAGTTAGTGACAGGGAGTCTTTGTACCGTGGAGTCGGGACTGCTTCATAGCTGATTCTCCAGAGAATTTTCAGAGGCACGGGAGGAGATTGCCCATCTTTCTCCTGGGCATCAGTTGGTGGGTTTGAACCACATGCCTCTGCGATTGCAGCACAGCCTCTTACCACTAGGCCACCAGAGCTCTCCCTGAAAGGTACTTAAAGCCTCTGAACTGGGCCTGGAAGTTGCCAGCGAGGTCCATTCAGGGTCGGGGTGGGAGTTGTGAGGACCTGTCAGGGCAAAGGCTGGGGGAGTGCATGTGCTTGGAAAGTGGGGTGATGCTGGGATTGAACATGGCAGCGGGCCTGTGTGCCTCCTGAGTAGGGCCATTGTGACCTGAGGGCCCTGGAGAGCTCCAGCAGGGTCAGATGGGAATGTCCTAAAGCTGCTGGGATCCACCGAGAGACCAGTATGATGGTGTGCAGGCTGGGAAGCTGTGGGAAGAAACTGCTGCAGCAGCCGCCTGTGAGCATGGGGACACAGCACTGTGGGTGTGACGCCATCCCAGCTTGGATGGTTGTGGGACCTGGAGCCCAGGATGCAGGACACGGTGGTCCAGCGCTCAAGAGGCATTTGAGCTTTAGTTTAGAGGCTGGAGGAGAAGGTTTAGGAACAGGGAGAGCAGTGAGAGAAGAGAGCCAGCAGTAGACCCTTAAGGATGTGTTAGCAGGAAGAGGAGAGGCCACAGAGGGAGAGGCAGAGCACCCCAAAGCTGCCTGTCCTAGAGGGGTGAGCTCTGACCAGAGCTTCACATGCAGGGGTGGTTATATCCCTGCTGCCTGGGGCTGTCCGAAGGTTTAAACTGGCAATAGGTACAGTATAGCCTATATTGCCTAAGTTTGTGAACTTTTTTGGTTAATTAAAAAACCTGAAGAGCCAAGTGTATCAGAAATGAAGGCAAGGGCTTTGGAAGCCCTTGGACCCCATCAGCAGTATGGATAAAATTGACTAGATGGAAAACCAGGGATCTCTAACGGCCTAATGGTAAGGGGTTGCGCTGGCAACACAAAGGCAGTGGGTTTGAATCCATCTGCTGCTCCAAGGGAGAGGGAGAAATAATCTCTCATCAGTTAGGAGTTGATTCCAGTTCTGACTCAGCACACACGACAACAGACATAAAACTGAAGAGTCTACAGAGATGATCTGGAGAAGGTAGCGACCCCCGGGGGTTGCTGGAGGTGAGAAATGAGGCAGTGGGGGAGGCTGAGGCTGTGAGTGCAGGCATCCTGGCGGTGGGGAGGAAGGAAGGCGGCCTGGCTGTATCTTGGATGAGAGAGGCTGGACTGTGTTCTCCAGCTGCAGGGTGGTAAGAGGTGGAAGAACCTTAGCGAGCAACAGCTGAGGACACATGAGGGGCTGAGAGGGGAGGAGCTGGATTTGAACTGAGGGCGAAGGGAAGACGTGAGGCTGAGGAGAGATGTCTGGGAGGGACACAGGGGCATTGAGAGAGTTGGAGTGAAGCATACAGCAAACACAGAGAGCAGAGAACATACAGCAAGGATGGGGCAGGGGGGCACGCACGGAGGGGAGAGCAGGGACTCCTGGGGCACCTGGCCCTAGGAGAGAGGTTCACCTGCTTTCCCCTGGTCGCCCTCCTGGCTGGGGTCAGACCAGATCTTGAGCCCATAAGCATCAAGTCCTGCTAGGGAAGGGAGACAAACTTTGACCTGGAGAGACCCCAAGAAGGCTCAGCCATGCCCTGGAGTGGGGAGGAGGGGTCTTTGGAAAAGAGACACTGGTCCTCACCCCGCCCTTCCCAGAGGTGACAGGCATGGCCAGCCCAGGAGAAAGTGGGGTGGAGGTAGCGAGGCTCGGAAAAGAGTGTGGGTGCACAGATTGCAGGAACGGCACCAGCGACTGCATCAGTTAGGGTCCACCTGAAACAGCTCATGAAACAGAGGGTAAGACAAGAAGAGATGTGGGACAGAGGGTAGGAGCACCGTGAAAGAGACAAGGAGGAGGAATTGACCACACTGAGCCCGTGCTGACCTGGCAGTGTGACCAGTTCCGCCAGGGTCGGGCTTCACATAATCCACTAGCCCCAGGCCTTGGTTGGGTGCTTTCACTCAGGTCCTCTTCCTCAGACCGTGAGACTGAGGGGGGACAAGAGGCACCATGCAGTGACAGCCGCTCTCTGACTGCAGCCCTGGGCCAGCTCGCTCTTTGCTGGACCTCAGTTACCGCATCTGTATAATGGACCTGACTGCCTCAGCTCTCAGGATGCTCTTCTCTTTCACACAGGAAGAAAGTGAGAAAGGGGCCGAGTTGAGTGCCTTCCTCAGAGGCACCTTGGGCAGGGGCCCATCTCCATGCCCAGTGTTCCTGCCTCCAGCACCCTGCTGCCTTCCGAGGCCACCTGGGCCATGGTGAGGGCGGAAGGCAGTTTGTGCCACGGTTCTGATGCAGTGTCTGAGGGAGAGGGGCCTCAGGGGGCTTCACCAGTAAAGGATGGAGACCCTCAGAGGCAGCTGGCGCCACTGCTCCAGCACCTGTGTCTGTCTTACAGAACCTGGACCGCTTCCTTTACTGTTCGCACACTGGCTGGGCAGTGGGCACAGAGGAGTCTGACTTCGAAGGCTGGGCTTTCCCTTTCCCGGGAGTGATGCTCATAGAGGACTTTGTCACCCGGGAGGAAGAAGCTGAGTTGGTGCACCTGATGGACCGGGACCCCTGGAAGCTCTCTCAGTCTGGACGGCGGAAGCAGGTGTGCTGCTTGGGGTGGAGGCCCTGATGGCCAGAGTGGACCCGCCACGCTGCTGGGGGCCCTGTGGACTCCTCGTCGCCTGTGCTCACCCTTCTTCCTAACTCTCACCGGCCCTCTGAGGGCCTCCCACTACCATCCTCTCGGGCGTTAGTGGCCAGGCTTCTAACCTCAGGACAGAGGGCACAGGGTTGGCCTAGGGATGCAGGAGTGGGGGCCAGCCTGGTCAGCTCCCCTTCCCCACACATTAAGGTGGAGGGCGTGCTCAAGGCAGACAGGGCTGCTCCACACTCTCTGCCTTCCCAAGCGGCCCACATGAGCAAGATGGTCATGAGGGACTTCCTGAAGGAAGACCCCGACCTTCAAGAAACTGCTCAGTGTCCCCTGCCCAGACCCTTTATCCCACAGAGTTCTCTGCGCTGGATTTCTGTGATTGTTCATTCCAGTTCCTGTTAGTCTGGCCTCATGGTTCTGGGCCGCCTCTTGGCAAGGAAGCAAATGCCCTTTCTCCCTTGACCCCCTCTCTTCCTAACCCATTCCTGAGGACTCGTAGCCAGTAGCCCCACCATCACCTGCGGCCCCTCCACACTGCCCTTCCCTCCTTGTCTGTCTTTACCTGACTTCAGCTCACGATCCCTTATCACAGTCCCTCCCCGTGAACCCCCTCTTTGCTTCATGGTGCTGGTGCTAACCCCCAGCTCCAGTGAAGCCCACCTGAGGCTGCTCCTGTCACAGACCTGACCGAGGGGCGGGTGGTAGGCAGCCCGTGACAGGCACCTCTGACGAGGGGCTCTGAGGGGAGTTGGCCTCCTTGTCCTCATTGTTCACGCTGGTCGCTCACTGTCCCGGCCTTCCTCTCCCTCGCTGTAGATGGCTGTGTCACTGAGCACACGGAAGCTCGCCAGCTCACCACCTGTGTCTGTGTGCAAAGGTCACCGTCTCTCCTGCCACGGAGGCTTTCCCCAAGGCCACGTCCTCCGTCTGCCTGTGCACAGGACGGTCCTTGCTCAGAAATGCCACATTTCCCACTCCCTCCTGCAAGCTCGCTGTGCCCTCTGCTGGTCTTTGATGTTCTCATGTGGTCCAGCCACCTTTCTCTTCGAAATCCTTCCCCTCCTCTCAAGCTGCTGCTGGTCGCTCCTCCCGGTGGTCTCCTTGGGGTCACATGGCCCCTAGATTCAGTCCCTGGGGCTCTTTTCTGGCTCACTGTCTCCATAAGCTTGTGAATCACGGCTCTGAATTCCTGAGCATCAACAGTCTAGGCTGCTTCTCTGCGTCACCCCGAAACAGGCTCGGTTCTCCCCTCACCCCTGAAGGGGCCCCAGCTCAGCCAATCCCATGTTTCTCCTGCTCAGCCCAGAAGCCTTGGGGCCTTTTCCAATTACTTTTATGCTGCATTTCTAATCTGTTTATCTATCCTGTCAGCGCGCTCTCCCCCTCTCTTTGTCTCACACACACGCCTGCCATCTTGCTTCAGGTCTCCGGAATTCCTGCAGTGGCTTCCTGCTTGAGCTCTTGCTCCTCTTCCGTTCATTCTCAAAATAGCAGAAAAGTGACCTTCTAAAGCCCATGAGATTGGGTCCCTTCTCTGCTGTAAACTCTCTGGCTTGTCCCACCTCCACGTAAAGACCTAAGTGCATGTCATGACTCAGCGAGCCCTGCTGATGTGACCCCACCATCCCGACCTTCCAGGGCTGCCCTCTGCCATGCTTTCCCGTGACAATGACAGTGACTTCTTCGCTGGCCAGCTCCATGTATCCTCTGCAGCTCAGCCCAGCTCCTCCTCGCCTTCCTGAAGCGACCCCCTCCTCGGGCAGGCCTCCCTGACCTGGGATCTCGGGACCCTGACCTGGGATCTCGGGACCACTTCGTGCACATCTCTCCCTGCCTCTCATCCTCTCGGCCTGTCTCTTACTTCCTCCTCTCCTGATGGGCAGCCCAGCCTCACCTCCCTCACTGTGCCCGTATCAGGTTTATGCTGCCACTACCCAGGGTAGACCCCGAAGGCCAGCTCCCTCCAGCCTGGGCGGCCACTGGAAGGACATAGAAGGTGACCACATTGGTGGGGAAATACTCCCATGCCTCAGTTCTGAGGAGCAGCCTACAAAGTTCCTCTAGTATTTTCTCTTTCAATACAGATCACGTACCCCAAAACTCACCTCAAAAAATATACCCTTTTCAAGTGTATGCTTAAGTAAGTGATCTTTAGTCCATTCCTAATGTACAACCGTTATTACTATCTAGTTCCAGAACATTCTGTCACCTGGACAGGCCTCAGTGCCCATTCTTCTCTCCCCCAGCCCGAGGCAACCACTAACCTACGTCTCGTCCTCAGTGGATTTGCCTGTCCTGGGCAGTTCAGATGCTGGAAGCAGAGTCACATCATCTGTGTTGTTTCTGGTCAACTGCCTTCACTTAGCATAGTGTCTAAGGTTCCTTCACATCTCATATGTCACGGCGCCCTTCCTTCTCAGGACTCGGGCATGTTCCCTGCATCTGCCATGTCTAGTTTACCAGCTGTCGATGGACATTTAGGCTGTTTCTGCTCTTGTGGTGAACATCCATGTGGACACACGCTCCAGTGCTCCTGAGCGTGCGTGACTGGGATTGCTGGGTTTCCCAAATGGTTGTGACCCTCTGCTGACCACATGCGGCCTTGGACTGGCCTTCTCTTCCTTCCTTGATCGCTCTTCCCATTTCCGCCTCTTTGGGACCACATGCTAGAATAATCAACCTTTTGTAGCTTTGTTTTCTGGGGACCCTAGGTGAAGACCCTCTAGCACCTCATGGTGCTTTGTTCTGCCCCCCACTCCCCACCCCAACCCCGGCCTGTCGCTCGCTCTGTGTTGGGTCCCCCCGGTCTCCTGTCTCCTCTGCCGCAGTGTCAGGCGTGTGAAGTTGGGTCCCGCTTGTTTCCTTGCCTGACACGGACGTGGGACCCGGCTCACAGGAGGCGTCTGGGTAAATGCAAACACTTCACCTCCTTTCTGCTCACATCTTTCAGGACTACGGCCCCAGAGTCAACTTTCGGAAGCAGAAGCTGAAGATGGCTGGCTTCCAAGGCCTGCCCGCGTTCAGCCAGGAGGTGGTGCAGAGGATGGGTTGCTACCCAGACCTGGAGGACTTCCGGCCCGTTGAGCAGTGCAACCTGGATTACCGGCCCGAGTGGGGCTCTGCCATCGACCCCCACCTGGACGACACGTGGCTTTGGGGGGAGCGGCTGGTGAGCCTCAACCTGCTGTCCCCGACGGTGCTCTCCATGTCCCGCAAGGCACCCGGCAGCCTCCTGCTCTGCCCAGCGCCCCCGGACTTGCTGGAGCCCCTGGTGGAGGGGGCAGAGGCCTTCAGCAGATCGGTCATGTGCCAAGATGTGGAGGTGGCCATCAACGTGCCCCGCCGCTCTCTGCTGGTGCTCTCCGGTGAGGCCCGGCACCAGTGGCTGCATGCCATCCACCGCAGACATGTCACTGCCCGCCGCGTCTGCATCACCTTCAGGGAGCTGTCGCCAGAGTTCTGCCCTGGAGGAGGGCAGCAGGACCTGGGCCAGGAGCTCCTGCAGGTGGCTCTCTCCTTCCAAGGGAGGCCTGTGTGAGCCGCCCCCAGAGCCCCAACCCCAGGGAGCTCAAATTCCAGGGAGCCATGGCAACCCCAACCCTTGGGGCTGAAGGACCCCCACTGTGGACAGAAAGAAGCTTGACCCCCTCACCATGCACAAGCTTTGATGCAAAAATACCTCAGGTCCATCCCCTCTGACCTATACGTGACCACTTCTGTTTAGCTAATTTAATTTTTCATAGTTTTCACAGAGGGATAATTTATGCTTAAGGAATTTTGGTACCTCTTACAACTCTTTGGTCCGTTTTTTTTTTTTTAAATGTTTCATGCATATACTGTCAAATCAGATCCGACTGGTACAGGAGGAGATTTCCCCGCCTCCAGCAGAGCATCTGGTGGATTTGAACCATGGACCTCTGGGATTGCAGTGCGGTCCGTTTCTTTAATGAGGTTTCTCAGTACTCCCTTCACCCGGAGCACGCTGGGCTGGAGGAGGGCTGGGTGGAAGATGTTACCGTTCTCCCAGACTTCAGACTTAAACTGCCTGACCCCTGGAGTGGCATGCAGTGAGGACAGAAACACTTAAATGCTACAGTGAAAAAAAAGGTGCTCCTCAGCTCAGGGGCCGTGCCCGCTCTCGTCTTGTTGCTGTTGTATGTGGTGCTGGTCTGTGGCAGTGGGCGGCCCCTGTGTACCTGTGATCAGTTGAGGATCGGGCTGAGGGTAGGGGCTGGTGTCTGTGAGGCCCGCCCTCTCTGGAGCCGCAGCTGGGACTCCAAACCGTCATGTCCTGGGAGCCAAGCTTAGTGGGAGGCAGCCCATCAGAGTCACGTCAGTGTCAAGGGTGGGCCTGGTCTTCAACAGACACACTCAGTGGCCAGAGGGGCCCTGCCTGCTGAGCTGTTCACCTGCTGAGCTTAGAGAACTGAGAAGGATTAGAGAAAGCTCTCAGGTTTCAGGCGTCTGCGAGGTAGGGTAGGAAGTGACCTCGCAGATAGGTCACTCAGAGCGTGAGGGTGCGGGGACAGCCTCTCTCCCCTCTCTGGTCACCAGGCAGGGCCAAGGCTCGCCGTCTTGGCCCAGTGGGCGTTCAAGTGAAAGCCTGTTGTGAGCAGCCGGCAGCCTCCAGACCACTCATGGAAGGCCATCCCACAGGCTGGGTGGGCCTTTGGGTGACTCTGCCGCTGTGGCGAGCCTCTACCAGGGGACCCTGCCCCCCCGAGCCCGCCCTAGGAGAGGCATGCTAAGGCTTGGGAGACCCTGTGATAAAACAGCTTTCCCAGTACACAGACACTTAGACCATTGGTAACCCCAGAGTCTATCCTTGAAGCCACTCTACAAAGACCAGCAGGCTATATGTGACTTGCCATCTTCCACTGTGACACTGCCCCAAGCGAGGACAGTCACAGCCCAGCCCGGAAGGGGTTGTGTGGTCGCAGGCCTGGACACCGCTGCCAGTCACGGTTCCTGGGAGCCCAGACACAGCACAGCCCCGTGGTGGTGAGCAGGTGACACTGGCCTTTTACCGCTGTTACTTCCAGTGGCCCTTCACGCATTCGCTCAGCAAATGTCATGTAAGCACTGGGCCCATTGTGTGCAGACTAGCGTGTCAGGTCTCATGGTCCTACGATCTCGAGTGACGGAGGGAGTGCAGGCCTGTGACGACACGAGGGGCCTGCCCTAGGGAGTGTCCCCCGCACCGGTCAGAGGCCACTCGAGGTTCAGTGGTATGAGCGTGACTTGCTCTGAGGGTTGAGGCAGCCAGTGCAGGAAAGCCCCTCTGGTGGTAACTGAGCATGGAGCCCCCTCAGTTTGTTCCTGCCTAGACCTGGGGACCATGTCCCACAATAACTAGTGGGGCCCCTGGCAAGTGACCAGAGTTGGAAAGGGCATTTAGGTTCTGAGCGGGCTGGCAAGGAGTCTGAGCCCACCCAGGGTGCTGAGAACCCACCACTCACCCTGCCAGGGGGTTCAGGTCAAGGTACAAGAGTCCTCAGGGGTCTGCTGGGCACATGGTAACGGGGTCCCTCAGAGGCTCACTGGACTCTGCGGAAATGTCACCAGTGACTCACCCTGCTCGAGAAGGAAGGTGGTGGTGAAGGTCTTTTTCTCTTTAAGGAAATTGCAGCCCCCACCTTGTGTGTTCTCTTGATGAGGGGCTCAATTGAGAACAGAGCCCAGTGGGCTACTGTACCCCAAACCTTCATGCCAGTCATGACCCTAGAAGTCCCCTTTTTCATGGCAGAACACAGGAGACGCCGGTGACTGTGCCTTGAGGACCCAGGAGCCTCCAGATTGAAGCACCAGGAAGCTATAATCAGGGGCAGTGGGACTTCTTCCTGAGAAGGTGGCCTCTGCTCCTGGCTGTGAGAGGGAAAGTGTCCTGCGGCCTGGCCGCGCCACATGACCTGAACCCCTGGTAGACCCTCCCTCCGGGGCTGTGGGAGATAAGCACCCTGAGCGCTGCAGACAGGCTCTGGTGGGGCTCAGCCGCCCACCAGGAGGGACAGCACTCCATCGAGAGCGGGGGGGGCTTTAATGGCTTCCATTTATTCAATTCCATCCAGGGCAGTTGTTTCAAAATCACACATAGGAATGCGCACCGTGATGCCCATGCATAAATGGGTGATTGCAAAGCCAGGAAGACCGCTCTGCAGGTGACCCTCGGCCCTCTCGGGCTGGGGTGGTCTAGCTTCGACAGACCTTTCTAAGAAGCCGCTAAAGTACATTCTGCCGTCACAGTTCCTGAAATGGAAACACGGATGTTCTGAAGCTTCCAGTCTGGTATGACATGGTGAGCGTGTTCCAGTCGGGCAGGACTCGGCGCGCACATGAAGGCTCTGCCCAGAGGAGCGAGGACAGGCCCGGTGGCTCCAGGGCGGCCGCTCCACACCCTTCTGCTCAGTGAAGCCTCCTCCAGACGCCAGGCCCACTCCCTCCACTCCCCACGCCGCCCAGCCAGCTGTTTCCACACCCCCAACAAGGCCCCAGAGTGATCCTAGGGTTGTCCCTCCTGCCTGCCGGTCCCCATTCTCACAGCCATCTCTGTTCCCAGAATTGTATCCGTCCTGGGTCCCAGGGAGAGAACAAGTGGGAGCCAGGAGACTCTCCGGTATTAATCACTGAGAAATTACGATCTGCTCTCCACCTCCAGGTCAGAGTATGAGACACACAGTGTGTGGCATCTTCCCTTATCCGTGTGGCACCACCAGCTGGTCCACCTTACCTGACCCTGATGCTCCCAGGACAAATGCCCTGCACACAGACAAGTGGTCCCCAAGCAGGAGCTAGGGGCTTTCCCAAGTTGGGGGTGGTGAGTGGCCCAGGGAGGCCCAGAATGACAGCCCAGCAGAGGCCCAGGCCAGAGAGAGGGGCTGCCACTCGTGTGCAAGCTGAGGACCCAGCAAAGCAGCACTGAGGGCCTCCCACAGGACTCAGTGGCTGTGTGGGGTGCCATTCAATCTCACTGGAGGCTTTTTGCAGAGCAAACACTTACTAGACCACAGGTGCCCCTTCTCTAAGGCTCCTGGGAAGGACAGACATGCAGCCAAGACTAAGCAGGTCCCAACAGATGCCAGAGGATGCAGACACACCCGGCTGGGGACAGACGCGAGGCTCCTTTCTGGACCAGACAAGGGCATGGCCGGCAGACGTCATCATGTACATGGAGCCCAGCACACCTCCCCTCCCCCAGGGGCACTCACTGGTGTCAGGGTCTGTGTTCCCACAGCCTCACCCACCCCATCTCCATCCCAGGCTAGGAGGCAATGACATCTCTACTGAGATAGTGTCACCAGATGTGACCAGAGCATGGTGATGTCCCATGCCCACTTACAGAAGACAAGGAATCCCTCCCCAGGTTCTTAGCATGGTAAACACGAGCTTTAAAAGCCAAATGGGGCCGCCATGTGTAAGCTGGTACTGCAGCTGTGTGCATGGCAGCCACAGGGGACAGGCCCAGCAGACCCCACCCTGGGCCCAGCAGACCCCCTCAGGGCACAGCAGTGTAAACATGAGAGGCTGGGGCCACAGGAAGGGGGCTGGGGGTGGGGCTGCCTTCCCTGCGGAGGAGCTCTGGGTCATTATAAGGAGGCCCCTGACTCCACTACCCACAGGCCTGGCAAAAGGGTGCAGTTTGGACAGGAAGTCACCTAGGTACTCACTCTCCTAGACAAAGCGGGTAAGTAAGGGATGGTCAGGCCCACTGCCAACTCTGAAGCGAGGACCAGGCAGGGCCAGCCAACACGTGCTCAGAGGCCACTCTGTGGTGAGAGATGGCGGGGGGGGGGTGCCTCTAGATTTGGGGTTCCACCCCCACCCTGATGGTCACATCGTCTCCAGGATAGGGAGAGGGGAGGGCTCTGAACCGGGTGGGCTTCAGACCACCTCACTGAGCCTGACCTCCTCCACCTTGGCCAGGCCACACCAGGACGCACGCACCCTGTCCTGCCAAGCCTGGTACCTTGCTCACGTCCACCACAGGCCGCTGAGTGCACACACACCTGGGCTCCTGCCCATGCTCCACAAGCAAGGTGGGATGGGCACTGAGCCCAGGTGGGTGTGCACCCACCCACCACACCTCATTCCTGTCTACTGAGAGGGCCTGGCATCACCGGACATGCTACCAGCAGCACATGAGGCTCACACTGCACCCTCTGGCTCCTGGTCTCCAAGATCATCCTTGACTACTGGGTGCAGCTTGGGGCCCTTCCAGGGACGGAGTGGATGGGCACGGGCCGAGCACACTAGGGCCTGCCCACAACGCCCACCCCAGCCCTGCAGACCCCTCTCAGCTGCCCTTCCCTCTCTTACGCAAGCACCTGGATCATATCTACCCCAGCCAAACACCCAGAGTCAAAGGATCAGCCTTCCTCTCTGCCTCCTGTGCACCTAACAACACAGTCTCTTGTTTAAGGATTTCGGAGGGGGAGTTGCCCGGAATGCAACAGCACTGGGACAAGAGTAGAACTTTGGTCTCGAACAATCTGGCAGTGTCTATGCGGCCTTGCTGACAGTCGGCATTCTGGAACCCCTCCCCCCCCAGGTCTGCAGGCTCGGGCCGGCGTGGCTGCTCTGTGGCTGGTGCCTGGGCCCCGCGGCCCCCGCACCCTCACACCACCTGCAGGCTTCGCTCATGCCCGTCCAGCTGCACCTTGAGCTTGTGCAGCTCCTCGATCTCCCGGTTGTGCCGCTCGGTCTTGTGCCGCACCAGCGAGCGGTAGAAGTGGATGGTGAAGACCACGAAGATGAGGCCCACGGGCACCATGATGATGGTGGACACCAGGGCGGCCTGCCAGCCGGTGTGACCACCGGGGCCCGGCAGGTGGCCGGTCTGGGGCCGCGAGTCCACAGGCAGAAACTTGATCCAGCAGAGCAGCACCACCTCGGCCAGGAAAAGCAGGATGCCCAGCACGGTGGAGAAGCCCCAGGCCAGCTCGATGTAGGGGTGCATGCGCTCGTGGGGCGATTCGCTGATGGAGTTGAGGTTGTGGATGTTGCTCACCGCCTCCACGTTGGGCAGGATGCACGTGCTGATGAGCAGGGCAAACAGGTGCACGGCCACCAGCACGGTGGTGCAGGCGCTGAAGGCGATGAGCAGCGGCCGCGGGTACTGGTACTGCGTCTCCAGCTGCACCTCCACCATGGCCACCTGCAGGGCAGAGCAGGGCTGTCCTCAGGGGGCCGGGTGGACACACGTGCTGCCACACGCATGCAGTCACAAAAGGGAACAGAGGGCCGATGCACATCATGACGGCGGAGGGCGGCTCACACGGACCACGTGGTGATCAGCTGAGCACAGAGCCTCACCTCCAGGCCAGGAGTGTGACCCAAGTGGGGACACTGGTGAGGATGGGAAGTTGGGGGGGCACCCACAATCATAGGGTACTTATAAGACAATGCTACCCAGGGATGGACAGAGGACCAGTGGACCAAGCCCTCCCTATAGACACGGGGTGCTGAGGCCGGAAGAAACAACAGCATTTCCCATGGCTATCAAAGAGCCCTGGTCCAGTGGGTCATGTGTTGAGCCGCTAACTGAAAGGTTGGCGGTTCAAATCCACTGCCAATTCCATGGCAGAAGATGAGCAGATTCCTCCTGGAAAGATCGATGTGAAGGGGGTGGGGGAGTGTGTGTGAGAGAGAGGAGAAGAGAAGGGAAAGGAAGAGAGGAGAGCGGAGGTTGGAAGTTGCTAGATTTTGTTATAACCCTTTTAGCAGGGCTTTTTTTTTTAATTTTTGTGTGAGTGTACCGTCAAATCATATCTGACTGGTACAGGAGGAGAATGTTCCTCCTTTTCCCGGCAGAGAATCTGGTGGATTCGAACCGTGTGCCTCTGGGATTGTAGTTGCAGGTCCTTGCCACTAGGCCACCAGAGCTCCCCCAGCAGGGCTAACTTTTAAAACCATGTGCATATATTGCCCTTTACTTTTTAGAAAAACAGAGAAGGGGGGAAAACTTAAGGAACAGCTCCCCTTCCCAGCTCACTGCTCTTGCCGTCCAGACCCTAGCACTGTGGACTGCCAGGTGGAGGGTTCAGTCCAGGCCTTTGCAAGGACACCAGGGCTCACTCTCAAAGGTGCACCTAGGACCTTCTAGGCACCCAAAGATAAGAAGCCCAAGCCATTAAGGAGGCAAGCAGCAGGGGGTGAGACCTGGGAAGAGCAAAGCTGGTACTTTCATTCTACATCTGAGCAACCTTTTTTTAAAAAAAAATCTACAAGAAAGATGACACAGGTGAGCTCTCATGGCCTAGTGGCAAGAAGCTGCATTGAAATCCCACAGGTACATGGTTCAAATCCACCAGATGCTCTGCTGGAGAAGAAGGGACAATCTCGTACTAGTCAGATCCGATTTGATGGTACACACACACAAAATAATAATAATAAAAAGAAAGATGACACAATTTCTTCTAGCAACGACCTTCACTTTGATGAAGATGAACAAAACATTTGGTAGATAAAAAGGGTGGGCCACAAGCTGAACAGCATCAGGGCTGATTATTGCTGGGGTCATGTTGAAAAGTATCCAAAGAGACAAGAGCCACGGGCTGAGGCGTGGTCCTTTCTCAGTGCTTGTGATCTGGGATAAGCTCTGGTCTCCACAGAGGCTATGAGCTGGGGCAGGGAGGCTGGAACTACAAGGGAATGTTGCAGGCAGCACAGAGTCCCGGGGTAAGAGGCAGGGATGAGTACAAAGCCAGGGCCGCGCTGCCAGGAAAGTGGCACTGTCCCTGCTCACAGGGAGAGAGGCCAAAAGGCCATCGTCAAGTGTCGTGTTTATGCAGAGACTACAAGGACGCCTCAGATCACTGGCTCTACGTTAGGAGAAGGATAAACATGAAGAAATAAACTTCCCGTCAGGCGTAAATGTTTGTGGCTGGACAAAGGAGTAGCTTCGTGGCTCTAATTAGAGGGAGCACTAAAGGCCACTGCAGAATTGTGCACCGTGGGATTTTCAGGGGCTGATTTTTCAGAGTAGATCACCAGACCTCTCATTCGTAGTACCTCCAGGTGGACCTGAACCATGGACCTTTCACTCAGCAGCCGAGCACATTCACTGCACTCCCAGGGGACTCCCAACAGTTTGGTTCCAGCAAAAGGCCTGTTTTTGTTTTCCACACTCCTCTCCAGCCCCTGCCTGCTGGGCTTCGGCCGAGGCACCGTCTCCGGCCCCTGCCCACTGGGCTTCGGCTGAGACACTATCTAAGGCTTCACAACTGTCACTTCAGCCTCTGCCCTGCGCTGCTCTACCCTCTAGACCGTTTATCAACAAATTCAGCTGAGAGGGGATAAGGCTGCCCCTCCTGCTGGGCGCTGGGGTGAGGCTGCAGCACGTGGGAGGTGGGGCAGCCTTCTGAGAGGGCACCCTTTGTCAGGGGCCCAGGCACCGTGTGACCTGCAAAATGCCCCCCCCCGAAGCCCATGGGCACAGAGGCTGGGCAGAGGAGACACTCACAGACGCTGAAGCAGTGAACCGTTAGAACGTCTGACGCTGCCAAGTCAAGGACAGATCTCAAGGGGCACCTGCGACCCAGGACTCCACCCCAGGGTCTACTCATTCCAATCTCATTTGAAGATCATTTCTGGCCTTGGAGACTTCCATAGCTTCACAATTCCTTCTCTAGTTGCTCCGTAACTTCATTTCCAGGGTTGTTCCGAACTGTCATTGGTGACCGGGATGCCTTTGACCGGGGTGAGCACGTTGTTGTAGCATGTGGGCTAGAAAAATGGTGCCGCTTTCCTGAGTGTGGGAGTGCAGCTATATGGAAGATTTGGGGTCTTTTTTAAAAAAGATTTTATTATTTTGTGTGTGTGTGTGTGTGTACCGTCAAATCGGATCTGACTGGTACAGGAGGAGATTGTCCCTCCTTCTGCGGCAGAGCATCTGGTGGATTCGAACCGTGCACCTCTGGGATTGCAGTGCAGCTTCTTGCCACTAGGCCACCAGAGCTCCCAATATTTGGGGCCTTTAAGCGACAGTGGCAGACAGGAAGTGACCTGACTCGAGCCTCACACAGGAAGGAAATCTTGCTGCGTTACGCCATGCAACGCTTCTCAGGGCTGGTTTTCCAAAGTGTAGAGGGGGAAAAAAACCAGCCAAACCAGAAGAATTTAACACTGTAAATCTGTGGTGAGGAAAGCAAACTAAGATTTTTCATAGTGACATCTAAACCTCTCACACACAGTCCTTAAGATTGTTGTTGTTGTTGTTGTGAGATGCCATCGAGGCAAGTATGACCCATAGGGACCCTGTGAACAACAGCTCTGAACCCTGCACTCTGCTGTGCCGCCCTCATCATCTCTGACACACTTGAGCCCATTGCTGTGGTCTCTGTGTCAATCTATCTGGTTGAGGGTCTTCCTCTCTCTCCCTGTCCCTCTATCTTTCCAAACATAAAGTTCTTTCCCAAGGTACAGCCTCTCCTAGCAACATGCCCAAAGTATGGGAGATGAAGCTTCCTCATCTTTGCCTCCAAGGAGCACTCTGGCTGCACCTTCTCTAAGACATATTAAGATGTTCTTTTGGCAGCCCATGGGATACAGACTTTAGATTAAGCTTGAGAAAACACTTTATTATAATGTGATAAAGTCATGGGGAGAGAAGCATTAACTACCGCCAAAATGGTGCCACAGAATGATCCAGACTTCTGTATTTATGTTAACACACACACACACACACACACTCCCAAGCCCTCAAGATCTACGCAGGCCTTTGCTTAGACTACGGACAGAAACACTGTCCTTCCTTCCAGTTTGATGGCCTCTGCCTCACTTGGCATGTCGGCTCCGCCCCCGTGAGTCAAGCATCTCATTTCCCAAGGGTGCCCACTCAGATGACCCAGCAGCCCCTGCTTATGGGAGTGACCACTTTGGCTCACTCCACAGTCTCTGCACCACTAGTCTGACAACTGAGAGTCTGCCTACAGAGAGACAAATTCTTTTTCCCTGCCAGACCTCCGAGCATATGACAGAAAAAAATGGTGGCCCGGTGGCGTGACCCAGGCACATCCATTCTCACTCTAAATAACCACAGCCTCATCCATCGGGGCTGTGGAATAGGAGGGAGGTGTCCACAGCTCTCTCTGCCTGACACGGCTTTTGTCCTGAAAAGTCCCGGCCCCTTACTGTCAGGCAAAACTTAAACACACACCAATCAACCCCATAGTTCCAGCTCAACTCCTTGATTTCCACATTCCTGGGTGCTGTCCAAGATGGGGTGGCCATGGGCACCCTTGTCCAGGAAGCACAGTATATAAAAGCTGTTTCGTTAACACAGCCAAGGTCCTTGATGCTGAGGACACTGTGCTTGGAAATGCAGAGGGCCAGTGAAAAGAAGGCGTCTTCATCAAGACGGCCATGATTTTAAGATTCAAGACCAGGTTATGCTTCGTTCTGCTACAGAGACATGAGTGGGAACCAATCAAACAGCACCTAACAACAGTAACATCATCCTAGAAGAAGCCCTCCTGGTACAGTAACTAAGCACTTGATTGCTAAATCAAAGCTCAGCGGTTCAAACCCAGTCACTGGGCCGGCAAGAGCAGGGCCATCCCTGGACTGCCGGCCATTCCTCACTTGGACAGAGCCACCTCTTGGAGGAGCTGAGGTGGGCATTCCTAATGGTCAATCCTGGCTGTTGGGGGCTCAGAAAGCAAGCTGGGAGGTTTTAAAGGATCCTGACTGGTAAACATCGCGCGGGACTGCACTCACCATGGCGAAGCCCGAGAGGAGGGCGGAGGTCCGGCTGGAGGCCTTCAGCTTGGCCCTGCTCAGGTACAGCTTCCTCCAGGACAGGGCCTGCACCGAGTGGTGGTTGGACGTGACCAGTTCCAGGTAGCTGCGGCGGACCCAGTCCCGGTAATCCATGCCCTTGTGGCCCGGTTCGGAGCAGGCGGGGGTGGCGGGGGCCACGGGCACGTTGAGCTCGGTACTCATGGTGGGAGCCAGGCTTGCGGTGTTACAGGGACACACTCTGGCATCCTACTGTTCAGTGACCTGGAAGAGGCAGGAGCCAAGCCCATGTCACCTTCCACTGGGGTGCTGCCAATATCCACGCTCTGCACAAGCGTGGGGTCCCCCCACAGAATCTGGGGATCATGTGGGGGAGAGGGAGGTCAGCACACATCTCCAGATATGCTGCACTCAAAGGTGCTGCCTCCGCAAAGCCGCCCACGGTCCCCAACCCCCCAGTTCTCAGCCCCTCGGTTCCCAGTCCCCTGCCACTGACCTCCTGTCCCCAGCCTCTTGGCTCCATATGCTCAGAAAGGCTCCGAATCACATGTGGCTCCTTGGCTTCTCATGCCCTTACTCACTGCCGCTGAGTCACAACCGACTCAGAGCTGACTCGCCATTGCGCTTCCGAGGCTGTAAACTGCACCAAGGTAACTGCCCACCCCTTTCCTGCAGAGCTGCTGGTGGACTCTGGCCACCAGAAGCGAGCTGCCTGTGGGTCAGCAGTACAACTCCCCAGAGGCTATGGCGGCAGAGCGTCCTTTTAGGCCACTGAGTGAGCAGAATTAAAGGGCTGGGCCTTGGGACCTACGGAGTCTGGGCGCACCTTCTTCCAGGGTTATACAGCACTTAGAGGAAGCTCGGCACCTGCATTTCAAAGCCAGGAGTTTACTCTGTTGCCTTGTCCTGAGCATGATGTCTGCCCTTTCCAACTTCACTTCCTTCACCTAATGGAGCCGCTCCCATCCTCCCGGACCCCTGCACAGCTTAAATCAACCAATGCACTGAAAACTTAAAACTGCTTTTCAATTCTCAGTCCTACCCTGACACCTAAACATTTCCAAGTAGCTACCAGTTTCTCAAATCCAATTTCAGTCAAGTTTTCTTAAAAAAAAAAAAAGGCACCAACATATTTGGTTTATAGAACTAAAGAAAAGTCACATCCAGGCTGCACTGAAAACACAGAGGGGGAGGAATGGCAGCCCACCAGTAAAGATGTGGGTATGTGAAGACAAAACTAGGACTGGAGACTGACTCCCCCCAGGTGTAGGTACTTCTGGCTTGACAGAGACACAGGCTGAGCATCAAAAGGTCCAGATTTGGGAAGTTAAACCTAATTGCCACTAATGCAAAAAGGGGGCTGGAGGCTCAGGTGGCCCACAGGGCCCCACGCTAGGCTCCTGATCCAGTTAATCTGCAGAGCAGGCGTCAAGGGCACAGGCGCCCGTGCAGCTCTGTGGCTCCAGTATTAACTTTTATATTCACGCTCACACAGGCCCTGTGTGGCGCAGGTTTCAGGCTATTACAAACGGATTATAGCTTCTGGGTCCCAGGGAGCAGGGCCTGGGGGAATGGTTTGGCTGAGAAAACACTTGATGCATAAACGCCAGACTCTGAAGGAGCCCCGGCAGGTAGGAGAGGGCTCTCTATAGGTGGGATTTTCTCTGTTCTCCCCTAGGCTGCAGTGACATGGCTGGTGCTGGCCAATGGGATCCCCAGGGGACCAAGTGTGAGCCCTTGCAGTTCCGCCACGGGATGCCAACTTCTAGGTCACATATAGGAATGCCAAGTTGGGCGCTGCGGCCAGCAACTCGGCACTGAGGCGCTTTAATCATTGGAATGGCCTCTCCCAGGGGAAGAATTCAGAACAATGCAGCTCACTAACTGATTCGCTGGTCAGCTCCCTCCAAAGGATTTCAGATGTCCTCGTTTGGAAATGCACTACCCTCCTCCCCCAGCCCCATTCTGCCTTCTGGGTGGCAGAAGCACCCCCAACACCTCCCCACCCACTCTCACCCCAAGGCCGGCCTGCAGGTAGGATGTGGATGGTGCAGTGAATGGAGCGGTGAAAGGCAGGCCAGAAAAGCCCACCTGGGCCCCTCAGAGTGGTCCATCCCCTCAGCCTGAATGTGTTGCCCAATGAGCCTTAAGGAGGGATGTAGATATCAATGACAGGTGAGAATTTACACCTCCAGGGAACCTACTGATCAGCTGGGGGTGGGGAGTGTGTTTATTCCAGTTCTGGGGGTGGAGGTGGGGGTGGGGAAGCTGAGGGAGCAGAGAAAGGGCTGGTTGCTTTAGGCCTGGCCTGCAGAATGTCCCTGAAGGAAATACCAGGGAGTAAGATTAGGGAACAAGGACACGGGTCGTGAGGATGGTGAGGGTGGCCATGGCAAGGAGGGGCCTCTCTCAAAGACACTACGCAGCAGAGGGCATGGAGGGGGCGGCCAGCCAGGTGGGACTGGGAAGCGGGGCAGAGAGGATGTGAGCGCCCCAGTTCCAGGCGGCAGCACACTGGGGGAGGGGCAGCATGACTGTGCCGGGTGAGGGGTCAGAACAAGGCTGGAGAGAAGAGCAACCGGATGCCCGTTCAGCCTGGCCAGTGTAGGGCCCTGGGCCATCACTTATGGAGATGGAGAGCTTCCGGAGCACGCAAGTCTGATGGGACTCTCTGGTGAGTGGACATTGCCTTGCCATCGTCCCCAGAGCAGACAGGGCCAGGAAAAGAGGACTGTTTGCTTGGAGCCTAGGTCTTGAGACAGCTCTGCTGGTCCCCAAGGTGGGGAAGCCACTTCCTCTAGAGGGCGCCGCCCAGAACTGGACTCTGGGCCACCAGAAGGTGTTGAGGGCTAACCAGGGCCAGACTTTGCGCCATCCCTCCATCGGGTCCGCATTTCAGGGATCAGAGAGACAGGGCAGCGTGGGCACAACAGTCAGGTGGCAGTGGCTCTAAAAGATGCGCCCCTGGTAAAACTCAAGGGGTCTTATTAAGGAGTGGTCAGCCTGGCAAGAGAGGGCCTCCCTCCCTGGAGAGGGTGCAGCACTCCTCGGCAGGTCGAGCTGAAACACTGTCAGCGGGGTTTGACTGTCTTGACTTCCTTCAAACATGTGGGACAAGGGTGAGAGGCGCGCAGACTCCCCCCTGACCCGCTGTCACCTACGGATGCTTGTAACTCTTAGAGACACACAGAGACACAGACACACTGACATAGACACAGAGACACAGACACACACTCCACCCACACGGAGGAGGCGCTGCAGCCCCCACAGGGGTCTCCCAGAAGCACCCACCTACCTCCCTGTCCCTTCCCCTGCTGAAGCCCCAGGCGTCCCCTCCCGGCCACACCCGCCCGGGGATCCTGCGGTGACCTGGTGTGTTCCCCTCACCCCCGCCATCCTCTCTTTCCGCCCGTCCCCAAGCTGCCCGCGAGAAGGCCCCGTGGCTCCCGGTTCGCG